CCACACTGGAAAGTTTCCTTCACTCGAACCACCTGAAGCTCACTCTCTCAGGGTCGACGGCAAACCAGGAGAGAGCAGGAACCACACCTACTGCTTCTTTGAACCCACCTCTGCAACCATGCCTGAATTCTCAACACTGCGCTTCACTGCTTCATAGGAACTAAAGCATAATGGTTAGGTATTTTGGTGATGAGGAAATAAATGTCTATTGTGATACATAAGCAACTTTTCTTAAGCATCCTGATTGCCTGTTAAAAAATACAGATTTTGGGCATCCAGCATGGTAGCCAAGCAGGCTAATCTTTTACCTGTGGCACCAGCATCCTGTATGGGTGAGGGTTCTAGTCCTGGCTGCTCCACTTCTAATCCAGATCCCTGCTTATGGTCTGGGAAAGCACTAGAGCAGGGTTCAAAGCCTTGTAACCCCGTACCCAAGTGAGAAACCTGGAGGAAGCTCCTGGCTTCAGATTAAAAAAAAAAAAAAGTCTTTCCAATAAAATCAAACAAATTCTAAAATGAAGAGGAAGGATGGAAGGGGAAACCCCTATAGCCTACAACACTGTATCATGGGAAACAATAACAATTTTTAAGAAAACTAAAAAAAGAGAAAAAGAATGTTAACATCCATAGTAGAATAACGAAGCACCTGACATACACTGCTTGTTCCCTTTTATCCTGAAGACACTAGGGAATCATGGAATGCTCTCGAGCAGAGCTAGTCCAGACTGTTGCTTCAGCTTCACCTCCCTGTGCAACATGCAAGCACACAGTTGCTGGGCCTCCTCTGTTAACACCTTCGCTGACAAAAGATCAAATTTACTATCTCCGGAAGCAGTCCATTCCATTTTCAGACAGTTTTAATCATTAGCTCTCAGTTTTAATCATTAGCGCTTTCTTCCCCACATTGAGCTGAGATATGCCGTGGGTGACAGAACAAATCTAATCCGCTTTCCACATGATGGGGTGAAGCAATTAACTCTGATACAGCAACTGAGGAGGCTGAGGTGGGGAGGGGAATCCATAGTGAACATGTTACTTGTGGAGTCACTGGGAGTGGGTGGGGTGCAGCCTTCTCTAGGCACAAGTAGGTCTGGAGCTCAGTGACAAGATCATTTAGCGGGTACAGCTAGTAAAAGATATGGAGGAATGGTCAGCCAGGTAGACGGAGAGCAGCCTCTCAAGAAGAAAACAGGAAATTCGTGGGAGCGAATGTGCTGGAGAGGTCAGAACAAGATCAGAGAACCAGTGAAGTGAATTGGTGACTGAAGGTAATGAGCAAGCAGTCACACTGATCTCTGACCGAGTTAGCCTTCTCTTCCTCTGGTCTTCCAGAACTGCTTGGAACCACCAGGCTGAACAGCAGTGGTCCACTCCTTCTGTGGCTGCTCAAAGCAGGGATAAGAATTAAATGAAAAATAAACATAGTCCCAACATTTGTCAACCTGGATGTCAAAACAGGTTTCTCAATAAGACCCCATGCTCCTATCTTTTGGGGCGATATTAACTAGTATGGACCCTTCTGGAGACTAATTGCAGTGAAGAATTTTGGTCTCCTCTGCGTAAGCCTTCATTTGCCCAATTTTTTGAGCCATCCATTTTTTCACAACTCTTATAAACATTTTGAGAAATGACTGCTGCCCAGCACATAATTTGACAACTGAGGTGAACAGAAAATGGGTAAGATAATAGTGATAATAGTTTAAGTGATTACTGGTATCAAGAGAATTGTTTTTCTTTTTAAGAATAAGAAATGGCCTCAGGTGACCGGTGAAAATGATTTACTATTCACTTGCTCCGCAAAACCCCCATAAAAATCATGCACATCCAGAGGTTTCAATCTCCATGTTCACGTTAAGCACTTCCATGAACCTGCCCAGCCCATCAAGGGTCTGCATGCCAAAAAACCACAAGCACTAAAAGACATCATGTTAGAGAAGCAATACGTGCTGTTTCAACATCACAAAAGCACAGCTGGTGGGTGTACCCAGGCCAGACACTGGGGGCAGATACAGGGTCAGTGGTCCAAAAAGAGTGCTGGATCTCTGTTGCCCACATTTAAATACGGAGACACTATTGCTGAATTTGAGGCTTTGGATGCAGATCGCCTAGTCCTGAATCATATTCAGGTGAACCAAGCATCCAGGGTGTGCTGTCCCTCAGAGCTCAGGGTCAGATTAACCTGGACATGAGCTCCCCCTGCACACAAAGAGGACGCCTCCTAAAAAGGAACAAACTGTTCCTCAACCAGGACAGGAGGGGGCATGGAAGAGAAAGGCATTCCGGAAAAAATTGAAGAAACAAAAAGTTACAGCACAGGAATAAATTCAAGTATAAAATAAATGTGAATTTAAAAAGAAAGGAGGATGGGCCCAACAGCATGGCCTAGTGGCTAAAGTCCTCGCCTTGAACGCGCTGGGATACCATATGGGCAGCGGTTCTAATCCCGGCAGCTCCATTTCCCATCCAGCTCCCTGCTTGTGGCCTGGGAAAGCAGTCGAGGACGGCCCAAAGCCTTGGGACCCTGCACCCGCATGGGAGACCCGGAATAGGTTCCTGCCTCCCGGCTTTGGATCGGCGCAGTACCGGCCTTTGCGCTCACTTGGGGAGTGAATCATGGGATGGAAGATCTTCCTCTCTGTCTCTCCTCCTCTCTGTATATCTGACTTTGTAATAAAAATAAATAAATCTTTAAAAAAATAAATAAAAATAAAAAAAATGGAGGAAACTTACACGTGCTTAAGTGCCGAAGGAAAGGAAGCAAATGTAGATTGACAGGCCCAAATCAGGAATGCCAAAGAATGTGAGCCAAGTTCCAATGAAGGGTTTAGCTTTGCCAAGGCCCCCAACTCACGGCCTTACCACAAAGAAGTATTTCCTGGTTAAGTCCAAAGACCAAAAATAGCTACTGTTCTAAACCCTACCTACTTTCCTCAGAGGATACAGATGTTATCTCAGTGAGGTTAAGGGCGGATTATAGAAACTGATTCACTAGAGGGCACAGAACCCGGGTCTCCACGCTGTTGCCCAGAGTCCGACTCAATGGAGCCCTCACCTGGACCACAGAAGCATCATCCAGCTCAGGGAGCAGTGCCCTGCTCCCCCTGCCCAGGCAGGGAGAATTCTAGCATAGGATAGGCAGGGGAAATCTAAAAATAAAGCTCTCTGAAGAAACTGTCTTGCCTAAAGAGCAGCTTCCCACACACACTGGAGTGCCACATCTGCGGGGGCTGGAAGCAGGGGAACGGAACAATCCTGACCAAGTCACACAAGTATTACTGGGGGATTTGTTGGGGTGGGTGGGGTGGGGGTGACAGCGCAGTGCTGACTCCCTCTGTTGGCACCCCAGTGTCTGGGCTGTATACCTGGAGAAAGAGCTTCAGTGATAGACTCGGGATTTTATTTTCTGGGAAAACAGAAGGATGGCTAGGGACTTAGGCTGGCTTCCTTGCCATTCTCCTCCCCTCACAGTGGGACGTGAGTACAGCACAAGCTCTCATAACACACACAGAGCGGGGCTGAGGGCTTTCGTGGGCTTCAGGTTCAGGGATGGTCTTTCTCGGCTCAGCTCCCCTACAACAGGGTCAGGGACTACTGACCGGGGAACAATAAAAGCGTGCACTCTGAGCAGAACTGCAATTAGCATTGACATTCGGTTTGCTATCGTCATTTCACACCCCAAGGACAAAGCAGTTGTCCTGTTGCCAGGCAACGAGCAAATGTAGCCTCCCCACCCCCAATAGGTAAGAGGCCACTAGAAAAATTTCAACCTATGAGTTGGATAAAACCCCACCCAGAAACATGGAACACACTCAGTGGCCACTTCTGGTTTAGGAGAGTGATTACCCCCGCCCCACCTCTTTCTGTAAGCATTTTAACCTTGGAGACATACAATGTCCTTGGTACCAGATTGCTGGAGTTCTACCAGGAAGCCAAGGGACGGAGGAAGAAACTATTTCCCAGCTCTTATATGAGTCCACAGCGGTCATGTATCAGCCTTCCTCCCCAGGAGCTCTGTACTTTGGCCTGACAAAGTATTACACTAAGTCTCAAGGGTCAGAAACTCAACCTTGGCCAATGTCTCCAAATAGCTTTCAGCAGCAGTACATTCAATGCTGTATGTTTGCTCTCTCCACCCCTCCCTTCCTAGGGACCATCCACCATAGAATGCCCTGACTCATAGGGATGGCAGACCAATGGGGCGGGTGGTGAGAGGAAGTGGAAACATAATGAGACACCCAGAAGGCAGCATCCTGACAGGCCTTTGGCACTGTGCTGCAGACTGAGCCTAGTTTGCATGGTAGCTCCTTCGCTTCTGAGCCAGCTTCCTGCTAAGGTGCATCCTGGGAGATGACAGATGAGGGCCCAAGTACTCGGGTCCCTGTCACCCAGGTAAGAAACTCGGAGTTCCTGAGTCCTGGCTTCAGGCCCAGCCTCAGCTGCTGGGGGCTTCTGGGGGAAAGCCAGTGGATGAAAGATCTCTTTCTTTTTTGTATATGCATGTCTTTCTCTCTGTTTCACTCTGCCTTTCAAATAAAATAAACCCTTTCCTTTTTTTTTTTTAAGAGAGACTCCCCCTGTACCAGAACACTGTGATAGCTGCTATGCTCAGACACCAATCCTGAGGTCTGTTACACATAGATGGTAGGGGATGGGGGGGTGCCAAGTTTTTCTCTCAAAACACAGATTGCAAGCAAAGTACTTTGAACATTTCGAGAGCTATTTGAATGCTGACTAGCAACAATCACCCAACAGTCTTTTACAATTAGAGCAAACTGAAATTTTCCCGTACTGAGTCATTCATGAGTGAAAAGGAAGAAGCCAGCTCACAAAAGGGAGGAGATACTGACCATAAAATACACAACCTGAGCATACACTGAGAAGGGTTATTTTAGCTGTGGGAGTACACACTCCCTACCCCACTAGTTACACAAGAAGGGCTGGGTTGGCACAGGGCTCCCCTGGCTCTGCACAAGGGCCTGGTGTTCAGAAGGGCAACTTACCTGACATACAAGGACCTCTTCTCACTGGTTCGGAGGGACCCAGACCCAGAGCTCATGCTGCTGTTCATCATTTGTTCTCGCAAATCATGTATCTTTGATTCAAAGCGACTGTACTCTGTCAGGCAAACAAGGGAAGAAACAGGAAAAGAATGAATCCAAGGATCTCCCCTGAACCCGCATGCAGTGGCCAAAAAGCCAGGAGGACGCTTGGTTTCAAAGCAGCCAGAACCAGCCCAGTCAGTCTTCACTTTGATAAGCAGAGTCCCTCCTCCCAGCATAGAAAGGCAGACTTCGCTCCACTCCAGAGAGGAACAGAAGGAAAGAATGCACCTGGAAATGGAGTCCCATTGGAGCATGTCAAATGGAAAAATGCTTTTATCTGCCTCAAAAATCGCACTGAGCATTAACCACAGAGACAGACAGACAGACAGAGAGAGAGAAACATTGGAAGGAGGTTCCAGAGCTGCCTTTATAAATCTTTAGAGCAGGCACTGAGGCCCAAGGAGAGCAGATGGGAAAGGAGACTTTCCCAAAATGCGGACTGCAGAGAGCAGATGGCCCTGAGACAAAGGGGTGGGGGATGGGGGCGGGAGAGGATGGTGGCTGGAAAGGACCTGAGGTCATCCTGTCACCCTTAAACAAGGATGGGGGTGGGGGGAAGCACTATGGCCACACAGTAGGAAGGTAAAAACAAGCCTCATACCCACATAAAAAGGAAAGCTCTCCGGAGCTATTGCCTCTTGGACTCGAGCAACAATTAAGCAGTGACCACGAATTCTCCCAAACCTGGAAGTGTGCTCATACCACTCACCTCCAAAACTCTCTAGTCAGTGAGGGCCTAAGTCCACATCCAGCCTTGCAGCCTGCTGAAACCATTGCAATGGCCGGAAACAGGCTTATCGTTCTGCCACCACAGGTAGCTATAGGTTTATGGCCAATTTAAGAAAACCTGATATAGGAAAATTAACTCTAGCTGTATAATTATTGTAAAAGGCTTTTTATAGTGCTGGTTTACTGTGACATTTTCCTAGTACATTTAAAATACAATATTCACACTTACCACACATACACACAATTACACAACATGTTTCAGGTCTATAATTACTGCAGAAAATGGGGGTTATATCTAAGGCACAGGGTGTGGAAATGGCATTCCTTTACCAGGACAAGCTGACTGTAAAGCGAATCAGAATGTATACTAGGGATTGCAGGTTGGGGAACTGTTTTTAAAAAGACCAACACGATTCCAAAGGGGAAAAAAAAATTCCACAAAAGCATTTTCATGCACCATGGAAGGCTGGCAAGAAACATCCTCACCCAGTCCGTATGGCTCTACAGGGGAAAACCAAACACCTGTTCCAACACCTGACACTCTCCTCTGCCCCAGCAAAGCGGCCTGACCTTCAGGGGGGTAGAAAAGGAAATGCTAAAAAGCCTAAAGGGGAAAGAAAATTGAGTTCTAAGTCATGAAAATAAAGCCAGTTTCCTTTTTCTTCGCTGAGGTATTAGTGGAGTCAACTGGTTAAATTCCTGTGTTCTTTCATTCATCACGCACTGGCATTATGGTGATTTGTCCTCATTACCTACTCCCGTCCCTGAAATCCTGGAGGAAGCAGTGAAATCACTGACTCACTCATTAAAGGGGGGGGGGGGGGAGGAGAGACAACAGCTGGACAATGTTGCCGTTCTGAGGGTTACAAGGCAATGCATCAATATCAATGAAGGGTCCTAATCTAAGGTAGAGAAGGTGGTGACTGCTTGGTTGTGAAAGCCTTGGACTGCCCCCAGAGTGCAGCCAGCTGGTCCACCTCTAGCGATGGCCCTGGCACTGGCCCCACTTGAGGAGTCAACCCTTTAACCTGGTTACAGATTGTTTCCCCTCCCTTCCTTTCTGGAAGCCTAGGAGGCTCCAAGCTACCACTAGGACTTCAGGGAGGAGAGCTGAGAGAGATTTTATTTCTGAACGGCCGGCCCTTTTTGGGGAATATAAGGAAAAGACAAAGCTATGCATTGAACCCCAAACACAAAAACACAATGTATTTTTAAGCCTCTCTCAAAACCTGTTTATATATTTCCTTCTTTGGAATTGCCTTGCCCGCTGAACTCAAACTCAGCAGCAGGTCATCACAGTTGCTTAGTAACTACATTTCTTAAAAAAAAAAAAAAAAAAAAAAAAAACTTTAAAAAATAAATAACCAGCAAACCACCATTTCCTCAAAGCTTCCAATCCAAGGTTGGTCTCAGCCAGTAAATTCACTTAAAACAGACTACACAGAGAGAACAAAGCCACAGCTTTAAGGAATCTACTTTTTTTTTTCTGTGCTAACAAGAGTTTCTATTTAATAATTTTTATTAGTCCTTTTTCTCCCCATTTAGAGGATTCCCTTAGAAGTCCGGTCACTCATCATCCGTCTCTAGCTTCTAATTTGCTAGGCACAGAGTAGCCTCAGAGTAAATGATTCTTGGGAAATGAGGAGCAATCTAGGAAATTGTGTCCAAGTTGATGCTTGTGTGCTCTTACGAATTAGCCTAATGACTTAGTTGACCCATGGTTGCCAAAGGCCATTAAAGAAGTATTTCCATTTTACTTTTATTAAAAAAAAATTTTTTTTTTATTGGAAAGTCAAATTTACAGAGAGAATGAAAGAGAAATCTTTTGTCCACTGATTCACTCCCCCCCCCACACCCAGCAAGTGGCCCTAAAGGCCAATAGCCAGGAACCAAGAGCTATTTCCGGTCTCCCACGTGGGTGCAGGGTCCCAAGGCTCCGGGTTGTCACAAGCAGGAAGCTGGGTGGGAAATGGAGCAGGTGACCTTACTGGAACCTCCCATTTTACTTTCTGTTCTGGAGGTTAATAGTTGGGAGCAACTGGAGTTTATAAACACCCTTTAGAGATGCAAAATAACCCACAATAGGCATCTGGTTAACAGACATCAAAAGAAAAAAAAAAAACATTCTAACAAAACATTGTCTTAGAATGGGCTTAACGTAAATAGTATCTCCTCTTAGTAAAGAGGTAACATTTTCCCAGGACACAGGTTTCCCTGAAAAACCTTCAAAACAGAGCTGACGCAATAACCTAGTGGCTAAATCCTCTCCTTGCAGGCACTGGGATTTCATATGGGTGCTAGGTCATCTCCCAGCTGCTCTACTTTCCATCCAGCTCCCTGCCTGTGACCTGGGAAAGCAGAGGACGGTCCAAAGCTTAGGGACCCTGAGCCCACGTGGGAGACCCAGAAGAAGCTCCTGGCTCCTGACTTCAAATTGGCTGAGCTCAGGCCGATGAGGCCATTTAGGGAGTGAACCAACAGACTGAGGATCTTTTTCTCTGTATCTCCTTCTCTCTGTAAATACATGTGCCATTCCAAAAAGAATGGATAAACTTAAAAAAAAAAAGCAAAAAGCCTTCAAAACAGGAGCTGGATCATGGCGTTGCCTACAGTGCCAGCATCCCAACTATTCTCTGATCAAGCTCTCTAAGGAATGGCCTAAGAACTTGGGCCCCTGCACCTGGTTTTGGGCTAGCTCAGCCAAGACTGTTGTGGCTATTTAGGGAGTGAACCAGAGAATGGAAGATGTCTGTCTCTCTGTTATTTTGCCTTTCTAAGAAAAAAAAATATATTTTTAAAGATTTTTTTTTTAATTTCAAAGGTAGATATACAGAGAAGAGAAAAGACAGAGAAGATCTTCAGCCCAATAATTCACTTCCTAAATGACCACAATGGCCGGTGCTGCACCAATCCAAAGCCAGGAGCCAGGAGCTTCTTTCTGGTCTCTCACACAGCTGCAGGGCCCCAAGGCTTTGGGTCATCCTTGACTGCCTTCCCAGGCCACAAGCAGGGAGCTGGATGGGAAGTGGAGCTGCCGGGATTAGAACCCGCGCCCATATGGGATCCCGGCATGTTGAAGGCAAGGACTTTAGCCACTAGGCCACTGCACTGAGCACCAAAGAAAAACTTTTAAAACAAAGGCATTATAATAACTATAGGAGAGGAATTGGATATTATTTCAGTAGATGGAGATGCTAATTGTTCTAATTTGATCACTACATATTTTATACATATATTAAATTATAGCACTGTACCCATAAATACAATGACATGAATTTAAAAATTGAAATGCATCTAAATTTTGAAACTTCACAACTTGCCTATGTCCCTCCTTTTCTCTACTCAAAACCAATACAGGGCCCTGCATGGTAGCTTAGCGGCTAAAATCCTCGCCTTGCATGCGCTGGGATCTCACATGGGCACTAGTTCAAGTCCCGGGTGGCCCCACTTCCCATCCAGCTCCCTGCCTGTGGCCTGGCAAAACAACCTAGAATGACCCAAAGCCTTGGGACCCTGCACTGGCTTGGGAGACACAGAAGAGGCTCCTGGCTCCTGGCTTTGAACTGGTTCAGTAGCAGCCACTTGGGGAGTGAATCATTGGAAAGATTTTCCTCTCTGTCTCTCCTCTCCGTATATTTGTCTTTCCAATAAATAAATAAAGAAATCTTTAAAAAAAAATATAGTTCTTGCTGAGGGTTTCTCCTTAGTCAAGGTCATTGCCTAGGAAGCCCACCTTGACCTGTCTGTAACACAGAGCGCCCACTTCAAATAAGCTACTTTAAAGACACAGCGTTTTGAGCTGGTATCTTGTCATGGCGGGTCAAGCTGCCACCTGTGACTCCAGCATCCCTTATGGGCACCTGGTCATGTCCTAACTGGTCCATTTTTGATCCAGCTCCTTGCTAATGGCCTGGAAAGCAACAGAAGATAGCTCAAAAGTTTGGGTGCCCCACACCCACGTGGGAGACCTGGATGAAGCTCCTGGCTTCAGTCTGATCTGGTCCAGTTCTGAATATCGTGGCCACCTAGGAAGTGATCCAGTAGATGGAAGATTTCTTTCCCTCGCCTTCTCTTTGTGCCCTCCTTCCCCCTTTGGAGCTGATTTTCCAATACATCTTTTGTTTTAGTAAAGATGCAATATCATTAAAATCTAAACTCTATCAAATTGTGCTTTATTCATCTCTTCCATTCAGATTGAACCCAATCATTTGTGACCCACAAAGATATCCACAGTGAGTCATCCTTTGCTCTCTCACTCCATTTTGCCAGTTGCTAATTACAGAG